AAAAAAAAAACAACTCAGACCGGTGGTGCGTTTTCTCTCTCATCATCCTCCCGCGCCCCTGAAAATAGTGATGGTTTCTCAATTGGGTTAAAACCTCATCAGCCAACCCTACAACACTGCTGTAAGTCTTTCACTACGAAGTTGAGTTAAATCTCATACTCTTCGATGTGTTGCCGTTTTTATACTTCGATCCACTTCAGTTAATGTTTCATGCGTTAGTTACGGAACTTGGGTCCTGCAATGCGCTGGTAAACAGGTTGTTAGTATGATGTATGTTTAATACCGTTCTAACTTTATTGCGACACGGTGATTCAACCACACTAAGTTTGTGAGATATCATGAAAACGGCACCCGCGAGCAACGCCGATTTATCGAGAACGTCCTTCATGGGTCCTCGAGATTTGTATGCACCAGTTTATAGACTTTCAAAGAGCATAGCACATTTCCACATACAGTCAAGCATCGCATAAAAGCTACGTTGTAATTCGTCAGTTGGACTTAACTTAAGAACAGGAAACTTTCAGTCATCATCTGTTATCACCTCGTAGTATCCACAAGTGCGCCCGATGGCCCTGCGCCGCTCTTTCCGGCGACCGTAGATGCGGGAACTTGGTGTGAGGGAGAGAGAAAGAGTTGCTGTTTCTGTCAGCATCGACTTGAAACAAACGAGGAAATACCCACTCGACAGCCTCCTTCGAAGCGCTCCTGTCGTTCGCAGAGCGCAAGCTCAAACCAAAAAATTGCGAGCACCACTGGTTCTCGCAGGACTATCGCTCGGCCCATTGCTCTCCGCATCTCCCAAAGAGCCCTTTACTCGCCTGCTGCGACTAGTGTTTCCACCGCTGCCGCCACTGGCGCTAGTGCCTCCGCTCTCTCCTCCACTGCCTATGCGCTTGTCGCCTCGGGTTGCGTCAAACTCAGAAATGCAAACGCTGCAGGTCACCAGCTCAGTTCGGCTACCTCTCGCCTCTCTTGGCATCATCCAATCGCCTGTGGTAACAGGCGCTACGTGATCCACCCGGGACCTGCGGGCTGCACCCGCCACAGTGTGGTTTTCGGAAGCACTGTGTCCGAGCTCGTCGGAGATGTGAGGCTGCGCAAGCCGCCTTCCTTGGCCTGTATTTCGTCCACCTCATCAAATGTGACTGATTTTAGCCACCAGTGAGTTCATCTTATTGACACAATGGTTGCAAAAGTATTTTGGGGAAAGAATTTTCACTATAACGTGACGGCCAAAAAACTCATTGCCCTAATGCATTGGAGTTTTGCCAGGTCGCGTTGAATCGTTTTATTTTCCCTAGATTACATTGACTGTGCCTTTAGTATTCTAAGCTCACTTTGCACTCATCCACTTGTACTCTTCATAGTCGACTGTCCGCATTTACCCCAACGACGCAGTCGCGGCGCATGAGCCTGACCGGTGATGAAGGTGAGTCGACAAATCCAATCACTGCTTTCTTCTCTCCCGATATCGTCTCCTCGCCCTATGGTGGTATCGTCGTACCCTCCTCCACAGCTCTCTCCCGTCCTACGGTTTCTGCTGCCTCCTCGGGCTTCTTCCAGGACAGCTGCAGTCTCTCACATTCCTCCTGCAGCAGTTCAACCAATTCAGATCAACACTCCACTCAGGTAATCTCCCCGTCCCTTCTTTTTGTGTAGTCCTTTCAAAAGTTGCGAGGCGCAAGTGTGTTATTGCTTTAAAATAGGTGGGAAACCTGGTTCATCAATGCGGTTTCGCCAGTAAACCCATGGACTTGAAGGTGCCTCACATTGATGACTCAACAGCCAGTCTCGCGGTTTTCGAGCAGCAACAACAGCAACAGCAACAGCAACAGCTTCTTCAGCAGCAGCACCATAGTTGCGCAATGGAGGCGGCAAAACTACGTTGTCAATCACAGCCGGCGGGTGCAGGAGGTGCACCTACCTGTGTTTGTGGTTCAGTTGCCTCCGCGGAGTGTCTCTCGCGTCAGGTAGGGCTCAAGCGCCGTCGCTGTAGTCACGATGTCGGCCTCATTTGGGAGACCGACAGTGGCGCCTTCCTCTTCGGCGCACACCAACACACAGGCTCCTTTGACAGTACCTCCTTCAATCCTGAAGTCACTGCTGCCAATACCGCCGTGGAAGGTGGGATGATTGGCCAGGAGACCTCAGTTAGCCCTCTCCGCTTGCAACAACAGCAACAGGGCCAAGCAGATATCTCTGTCTTCCCACAGGTCAGTATTTTGCTTCTATCCTTGCCATTTTTCGGTCATTAAGCAACCTACTTGGAGTTAGTCATTGTAAAATGCTTTTCTTAGGATTCAGAGACTGCATTTCTTATGTCTTGCCGTCGAAAAGAACTATCCGGCCTTTCTGAAGCTAGTGAAGAAGAAGAATCTAATGAGGCAACACTTATTCAGCACCAAAATCAGTCTTGTTGCGCCTTGGAAGAATACGATGCTGGAACCTTGACACCGCCACCTCAAACTCGTTTCCGTCCTATTGCACCGTCACCCTCACCAGAGGAAGCGGATACCGAGGCGGACCATCATCACCATTATCACAATTCGTGTTCCACTGAAGGCTCTCCTTGCTCCTTTAAGGCTAACAGTGCCAACATTGTGGCCTTCAGTGAGGATGGCGATGAGGATGAGGTGGACGATGAGGATTCCTTCGGGGGCATCGCTCCAGGCCTAAATCACCGACGAAGATGCTCTCCTATGCAGACAGAGGAGGTTTCTGCCTCAGCAGAGAAGTTTCGAGAGTTGGACATTGATATGATCGAGCAAGACTGAGGAATGTGCAGCTGATTGCCCTACGCCCGTACAGGGAGTGTATATATACGTACACAAACACATAAAAGTTCTGCTGACTTAGAATTAACAGACCCACCAACACTTATACATACACGTATTTTTATGCAACCAAAGCACGCACTTTAACATTCGTTTTCTTTGTACATGTTTTTCTTCCGCTCTTTATCGTTGAGCACAAAACACACACGCTGCTTGTGTATGTTAATATTATTTTCAATTGCCTTTATTATTTCGTGTCTTATGACCGTCGAGGTAATGTTGAGTGTTTTTTTTGCTTTCTATTTAGAGTAAAGCGAGTTTTTGGGTGTTAACACAATGTGATCGTTGAACTGGATTACAAGACAGCCGTGATAACCTTTAAACTGTGAAATGTTTATCAGTGTTAAAGTGTGATCAAGCAATTTAGATTGGTACCATCATTTGCTGGTATGTACGGTGCACTGCTGGAAGATTCTGTGTAAAATATTCCCCTCTTGCACCCGTTGTGATTTCCTGGGCTGCCGCCCAAGTTTTGCGTCTTAGATGGTTACACTTGCAAAATAACGATTACCTTGTAGGGTTTGGAAACCGTAGCCGGCCATTTCTTGTCCTCAACACGCCTTTTGGAGTGAAACCGAGTACGCTTGATCCAATCTGTAAATAATTCCCTATGGGTCCAGTTGCATTGTACAAAATCCCTTGATTCAAACTGTATTACTGTTTCCTTGGAGAATGTAAGCGCCTGTCTTCTTTTAAAGTCATCCCGTTGCATGGTACGTAACTCGCATCATTCGCAAAATTCTGCTGTACCAATGGATTCATTTCATCCCTATTCCACAATAGATTAGTGTTTGCAATTCATCATAAATGCAATCCACGCCTACTGAAACTTTGCGATGTGTTTTCCTTCATGGATTGCGGCGAGAGCGCCCGAGCTTGATAGCGGCTAGGCCTGGAAACATTGAGTGGCTTTGTATATTGAACACACGAGCGAATTATTTCGAACTAAACTTCAACTTCCCGAAATTCACTTTTAAATGAGGATGTATCCACTATCGGGCAGCCGAGGTGCAAGTTTAGTTTCAACAACTACCTGAGGTGAGACTCGAGATGTCAAAAAGGATCTTCTGAGAAATAAACATTAACATTTTAGGTGCAAACACTTCGACTCCTCAAATGTACATTAACAAAGCCGTGGATCGAGAAATTGGCTGACATGACTATAGAGTGAGATGTCTGGCACATTGCCGATTTTCCCAAAGGTGAATGGGTGCGGGCGCATTTCCACCCTTCGACACAACTACCACTGCTACACGTGTAACACCTCATAATTAACATTGTCACTATTTTCAATGGTATTTTCGCTTAATAATTGTTGCAGCTCCTGCAAGAATTAAATTGCATTCACGGTGAGGGACTTGAGATTCAATTAACTTTATAAACATCTAAGAATTAGTCAATCTTGTGCAATGCGCAATGCAAGACCTGCGTTTGTGCAACAGAACATTGTCTTACCATCCTACCGTAGCAAACTAAATCTGACTACATTGTAAAGGAAAAAACCTCAAAAAGACGGAAAAAGGCGGCATCCTCAAGTAAAATAGAGAACACTAAGAAAGAGGTGAATTGAGGACCACTGCTGTAGCCTGGCGTCAAGGTGGATCGACTAGATACAACTACGGAGTCTGCATGTGCCTCGCCACCAAATTCAAGAACGCAAACTGCCAATCACAGTACCATGTACGTAAAATCCTTCTTCGAGCCTCGTCCCT